CACAAAATGCCATTGGCTATAAAATCAATTAAAAGGAACTGTAGACAAAATCATTTTAGTGACACAAAATTTAAAGCAAGTTCTAACCCTAATTCAAAAGAGCAATGTACGGCGGAGTTAATGAAACGTAACATATCACACTGCTGTCAAACATATTTATAAATCTACCAAATGTGATCTATAATAAAACATATCAGCATCCAGAGATTTAGTTACAGTATTTTAAACTAATGTAGCCCAAAACAATAACAGTTGAGCCATAACTTCCAGGCATAAACTAATTAACAGTCATATACTTGATATCCGTGACTAAGTACGTCATAACTTAGAAGGAAGGCGGATTTGGTCGAGATTAGCCTCAGCGAAATAGCACTGATATTAAATGTACCCCACATGGCCACCAATGAGTTCATTTGGCCTCAAGGTTGAATTGACGTTTACATAAAGTAGTGACCACCCTAAAGGGCACCTGCTAACCCATTCTTTAAGCAGTTGGTCGGGCCACTAGCACTTGTATAAAACACACTGGGGCTTTAAATCTCTTAGTGTCAGTTCTCAGCCATTTTTATACAGGATCATACAGCAGGGGGCAACTAGTTTCAGATCCGAGCAAAAAGGAAACACAAAACACGGAAGACAAGGGTTAAATTGTTTGAGAAATTTGAAAGGCTCTACAGAACTGAATGATATTGGGACCTTTTTAAATTGACACCCGGGATAAAGCATATACAAAGAGGGACTCGGTGTCCACATTGGTCATTTGTTAAGCAAATGTTTTTGATAGAAGAAACACATAGTGTGTTAGAAGAGAGGAAATTGAGTACTTTATATTTTATAAGTAGATTTGATGAAGATAATATATGGTTAAAATAGTCAGTTAATAGAAATCCTCCAAACTATGAATTAAATTAAATGGGTTTTAAGGATCGTAACGTATTTAACGTTCAATCTATGAATTAAAATAATGGGTTTGGAGGAGTAACATATTTAACTATAAGTGGAAATATGGCTCAGTTTTAATTTCTTAAACAACTACATGTACTTCAAACACAAAAGCTCAATAGATATGCGAACTTTACCCCTGAAATAAGAAGCGGTACCAGGTGTTCTGACAGAGTCACGTGAACATCTACTTTAGATACAAAGCACAACATTAATTGTTAGCTATGTGAACGTTCCCTAAATTAATAAGTGGTATCATGTGTTCTGGGCATGGCCACGTGACCATACAGTACTTGTTCTGGTGTAAAAGGAGAGCTGTAAAGTTAATCTGATAGCCACGACCGGATGATCTGTCACAGTCAATAACATAACATGATAGTCATAAATCTTTCACTTTTTAGACAAGTGATGGTAACTCAATACAAGCAACAACTTGTGTTTCTGTCATCAGCTACTGTTTCTAAACAACAATACTGTTTGTTTATAAAATGTAGAAAGTCCCTGTGTTATATATAGGTCAATGAAATACAGTTTTGGGTCTATTGAAAGAGCGCAAAAAAACATGTCGATTTTATAAATAGATAACGCCTTTATTATTACTAAAAGAATGATGACTCTGGAATTCTTATGAAATGGTTCTATAACAAGTAATCCTATAGCATACTAGTATAACTCAGTATGTCATATTATAGAAATACACTCCTTCGTACCGGATAAAAGACACACTCTAAAAAACTGCTGCCATTCAAAATTTCAGAAAACTAAAATTGTTTTCATTAGTTTAAACATATTTTATTGACAAATATCAAAAGGATTGAGCACAAGTTTCAAAAACTTAGAAAAGCCCTTTCCATACATAGAAATGATAGACATTATTTAATACTAACAAGATTTCGAAATAGTATATACAATAATAAATAATTTATAAGTAATATAAGTAAAGTCAGATGAATTATATCTCAAAGCTCTATATAAAATAAGTGAAGAGGTGATAAAGAGAATATAAAATTATATTTAAAACATTGAAGTAGTTATCAGATTATCCCACTTAACTAGTTTACAAGTTATTAATTATATTTGACAGGGGTCAAATGTCCCACTGTTAGTGTTCATTGGGTTTCTGGTTGACCAAACCTCATCTAGTTTTATAATAGTACATTTACTTTACGGTTATAACTTTACAGATAAACCGTGTCTCATCTTACTTCCGCCGAAGAAGACCTGGGGTAGGCCCCACAAAAACTATTTCCACTGCTGGTTACCGACTGCCGGTCAGGCCATTGTTTGATTTGGGCTTTCAAAAACCTTCTTTTGTAAAACCAGATACGGGTTAGGTCAGACTATGAGCTGTTGTATTCTTGGCTGTTACAATTAAGGAATTGGATATTTTTTTTTTTAAAAAAAACCCCAACAGAATGGTATATTTTGCAACGCTAATCCCACAGAACTAAATGGATGTACAAGTTCGAACAGTTGCAAATGAAGTTTTGTTAATAATGCCGTCTTATTAATCGCCGAAAAGAGTGTTTTTTGTTCAATAGCTCCTAAAGTATTGCAGAAAGGCAAAATATGTTATAGATGTGCATATTCCACATTCCATATCAAAAATTGACAATATTATGTATGATGGAAATTTTGACAAAGTAGTTTATTAATACCGACTTATTCAATATATAATTGCTTCAAGGAGTTTAATACGGTTGGGCTATATTATAAAGATACCAGAGTGACACCTTTACCTGATTGTAAGTTGACTTGCCACTAGTAATATAATAACACCATTAAACTTCAAAATACAATCATACTAAAATTCCCACTTAAAAAGTTGTTAAATTTTTCAATTTTGAGTCCCTGGATTACTTGGTAGTAATTCTGAATAAAGAAAATAACACTGGTGAAATGTTAATAGGGAGGGCTGGTTAGAAGAGATTTCACTTGTCACTCATTCTCGTCACTTCTATACAGTGTGATTGAATAAAGGCGGTAAGGGGGGTAACCTCTCATAATTCACCCTATCTGGTTTCTCTGGCGACAAGATGGGAAATTGCTCTTCCTTATTAGATTAATTATATTGGGGATGAATTGAACCGGGGTTTTTCTAGGCGGTCGGGTGGTGACATTTGTGTAACCGTAACAATTTCTAACACCAAGAGGTCCCCCAGTCATCACTGACTATTGTTTTCTTTTAAAAATTGAACCTTGTTGACTTTCGGCCATGACATTGACGTGACAAATTCTAATTGAAAAATAAAAAAAAAATAATTGTCATGCTATTCATTGAGATGTGAATTATCGGAAATACCAAATTCCGGAATGTGTGTTATTCTATTTTGACAGGTACATAAATCTATGTCAAATTAAAGAAATTATGATCTTATAGAAATATATCTTGCTGTCTAATCTAGTTTTATGTTTAATATTGTGTCCTTTAAAGATTCAAATTTTAAGATACATTTCTTATTTCTTTTGTACGAAACTCTAAATTTCGAAGTGTGGTCATAACGACCATACATTTCTAGGTTCGTTATTTTTCACGTAGCTAAATGAAATAGTCTACTAAAGGACAAACAACACGTCCTAGCATTTCTCGATATTGTGTTGCTTTGTGGCATGGCAGAAAGTTGACCCTATACACAGCTTTATCTTCTTGTTTTTGTAATGAAGCCTTACTGTGATTTTTAAAGGCATTTAACTTTGTCTTGTCTTATCCTAATCAGTGGTTAACGCCTTCGGAATCTTTAAATATATGTAGAATAAATAATATTATAAGTTTAAAGTGAGGATTTTGGAATAGGTATGTCAACAGTTTGCACGTTAAATACGCTATTTAAACAAGGTTTAGATGTTGTTTATTACCGAATATCTTCCGTTTATTTGAGTAAATTTGGAGCCTAGTGTCATCTTGAACAAGCATGGCTTGATTCCGTAACCTTTAGTCCAAGTTTACGAACTTAGGAATTAAGGGGTCAAATACTCCTTTCAGTTAAGTTTGTTCGTAGTGAGGATCTGAATTCTGTGAGTGCCGCGGTAAGCCCAGGGACAGGATATAGAACGGGTGTACTAGTTTGCTCGGAGCTTAGCGACATTTTTACAGCATTTGTTAACTGACAAAAGGTTTGAATTTAAAATATCAGTGTGAAGATCTTTAACAATAAACGGTTCAAACAATATTGACTATAGGCCATATAGTCGAAGATGACTTTTAATATTCAGATGACGGTTACGAACTCTGTCATTTATACCATTTTGATAAACAAATTCTACGAACAAAATATATTTTGATAAATCATTTTACAGCTATTTGTGTGTGAAATAGCTTTATTTAACGCCCGCTTCCACCGAGGTGATATCGTCGTATGTTATAAGTACATTTCACAATGGTAGCCTGGTTTGGGATTTCGTTATTTATTCATTTTTTCTCTTTGAATTTCCTCAGTGTGTAATTAATTACATGTAAACTGTTACATTGTTTAGTAATTCAGATACATAAACAATGCCAAGGCGATCGATCTATTCAAGTGTCACAATTTAATCTCTTTCATTCGACTGTTGATTTCTTTTATATATTTTGTATAAGTAAAACAAACCCCTTTGTTGTAGTCGAGATTTTGTCCTTAATGGAAACCCATTGTTTTGTTGATGGGTAACAAAACAGAACAATTAGCATAAGTAAATGTTAGGAGGAAAATGAAGTGTTCAGACCATCAACATCGCATCATCATCTCCAACTAATTGTCATATTTGAAATGAATAAAATGTTGTTGGTTAAGTGTACGGGAAATTAATAACAAATAATATATAATGATTAAAGTGTCACTATCAAACCGTCATTAAATTTAGAATCAAAAACTCATCAGTTGTGCTTGACATACGATTTTGTTTAAACATTATTTTATTTTTGTCTGATGAATAGAATTTTAAATCAAGATTTAGGGGAAAAGTAGGCGCCATTTAGTGTTTCGGACGCAGTGGCAGCGTTTGCCTGTATCTTGATTTTAGTAGCGTTTTGTTTGGCTATACCGATAAATGTTTACAGATGGATATTTTTATGTTTACAGAATCGATGGAGAATTTTATGATGGAAAACTGTATGAAACGGAGAGAGGTGGGGTCTGATGAAAGCGACCATGAAGATATAGAAAATAGAATTGTCAGCCCGTACAAGAGATTGAAATTATATGATTCACCAACATTAGGACCAGATGGCATATATCCAAGTTGTTTTGGTATTGGTCAAGAAAAGAAACGGACTAAAGTTTTACAGAATCAAGGTGGGTAACTCTTGTTTTACTGCAGTGAACAAAAATATAATAGTCATAGCTCCGATACATTACTTTAGTCATTGTATTAAATACAAAAGTATATTCCAATGGTAACCCCCCCCCCCCCCCCCCGCCACACACATACACATACCAATGAAAATCATTAAACTAGCTTATATTCCATGCCAATTTCAAGTATGAGTTTGTGGTTTAAATAATAATAATATGTCAATATAAATGAAATTTGAATACAAAGAGCAACTATCGCCAATGGAATATCATTTACAAATTTCCCAAGTGATTTTTCGCTAAATGTTTTGGGAGGTATTATTTTTACTTTTGAAATTATGTAAAACTCGTTTTACAAATGTCTTTTAAATTACTGTCAAGTAATGTGAAACTGCTTCCTGCTTTCTCTTTAAATATATCAGACGCGTCATGTCTAGTATTTTGTCTACTATTCCACAGGGGTTCCTTCCTATATTTTTGTAAATCCACCAAAACATATGTTCTGGTAGAATTGGTGTCAATTCGGCATAATAGAATTAAACTGGTTGGTCACTTGGAAAACAAACCACAGATATAAACATAATGTTAATGTATATATTAAACTCTCCCCCTGCCACGTAATCCTGTACCCCATACCATCCAGAAAGGTTAATCTGTATTTACAGAATGACAACAATGAGATTGTCACCTTTAAAAGAGCAATACAACTTTCTCTGCTGGAACGTTTAGCTTTCCAGCTGTTTAAGCCGTTACTATGTCTCAAATTTAACTAATCTGCATTTGACACGGGTAACACTTGTGTTTCATAGGATTTGTCTGTCTTGGAGATAAATGCTTAAAGAAATATCGGGAAATCATTTAGAATAATAGTTACATGGCCCTGCCAATTGCTCATATTTTGTGCACAGTAAGCCCAATCAGTATTACACCATAAAAAGTAATTAGTTACATGAACAATTAGATATAAGTTATTAATGACTCCATCTCGAATATCAAAAGATAATTACTATTATATAGAATAATGGTTCTGCTGATCAGTCGATTATTGTGATGATTAATCAAACGTGATAATGTAGATGATATAATTGTTTCAAGTTTCAAAGACGAAAAATTAGATGCCGATTAATCAAAGGAAAATAATAATTATCGAGTTTATGTGACTTACTATTGTATATCGAGTTTGATTAATTACTTAGTAACATCAAAGTTTAACTCTTGTAAGTCTATACGATCTTCTTCAAAGCTGCAATAAGTCTATGCAAGTCTTCAGTTTTTAATGCTAATAATTGTTGAATATCCATATTAAGGTTAAATTCTAACAGTTTAAGGACCGATTATTCTTGAAATTTGCCTATTGTTTATCTCTCTATAACATCGAGACGCTGGGTAAGACGCTGGCTCGCTAGCCTGGAGGTTGCGTGTTCGATCCATGCATTGGCCGCGGAAGTTCATCGAGATTTTCCGACGTGGTTTCCACTTGTCAGTGGTGCAGGACGGAAATCCTGACAAGGGCAGCTGTCTAGTCGATCGGATGGCACGAAAAACCAAGACTTATACGATCCCTCGGCAATTGGAATTTGATATAAGAGTAGGCCATAGTGCCGCCGCTGCCTGGGCAAAATTCCCCCCACAGCACACTGTATAGGGTATGTCCGTCTTCATTAGCACAGTCGGGGCAGAACAGTAGGACGTTAAACCCCGTTTCATTTCATTTCATTTCTCTACAACATCACTTAATGCAAAGAAAAGTTATTTTGATAATCTACGTTGTTTTTTTGTTTTTTTTTTGTTTTGGTTTTTTTTTTTGGGGGGGGGGGGGATATACTATACCATGTTTTAACTCCGTGCAAAGTCTGGACGTTGTTGTTTGTTATATTAACGAATAACAATAATGTTACTTTAAGCATAATGGCCTCTAGATTAAATTGGTCGAGGAAATGATCCAATTTAAACAAATAAAACACATTTTCCTCGAAATGAATTTTGAGTTACATCGATTTCAAATTAAATTTGAAAAGTGGTTTCAGAAAACACACAAAGCCTCGTGTTCGACATCCATTCATACACATAGCTTAAACATTACCTGAGGTAGAAATACACAGAAGACATCCGTTCATACATATAGCTTAAACATTACATGTTGTAGATATACACAGTAGAAAAACAAACATAATATGACATGACAGTCACATAGGTTTAAGAATATTTTAGATGTGTAGCATGTGTTAAGATACTAGTCGATGTTATCTAGATAGGATATGACTTAATTAATTTATGGTTTCCTTAATGTAATTGATTTATAGTTAACCATGTAAGGGAACTCATGATATACACATGTCGGTTATAAAAACTTGATCGAATTTATATGTACCTGTTGTACTAATTAATAAAATGGTTTATTAAATCATAAACTAATCTTTATTAGTAAACGATCTTTATTAGTTTATGATTTGATAAACGATTTTATTAATTAGTAAAGCAGGTGTATGATATCAGATACAGCTCATGATATACACATGTCGGTTATAAGATTAAGCAAATTTGACAATCCAAATATTGATTGAATTGAATTTTATTCATGTATATCTAGGTACAGCACATGATATACACGTCATGCTGATAAGACTCACATGTAAATAGCCTAATTGCAAAAAAAACCTACACAAAGTTATTTAATAATTTTCCTGACTAGAAATGAAAATCGCCATACCCATAGCTTAAACGCATTTTCAAACCTTTAAAAAAATTTGACGCTGATGTATCAACAGATATTTGTAATAAACTATATATCCAGATAATAAAGATAGCTCGTAATTCTGTATATAAACTGTCAATCCAATTGTGATCTGTTCAATGTGACTTATTTCACTGTCAAATAACAAACATTGCCATATTAAAGTGTGTCATGGGTTGTTTTTTCGCGCTTGTTAACATTAGAACATAATAGTATTTTTAATAGTTTGTAAAATAACAGTTTTTAACCGATGTATTAGTTATAAAAAAGTATTGTAACTTTATGAAAGGACAATATACATAGACCTACTAGCGATGATTTACCTACGTATGTGTTATGTGTATTGTTTTTATCGCTCTTAAAACAATGGTCGTATGTCAGCCACAAGCCTTTAACAAAATACATAGCCCAATAATAGAAACACCTGTACTGAGCTAATCTACCTTACTGGACATTGATTTTTTTTATTCTAAACATGCGAATATGGATATCTTTTGAAACAGGGCTTTTAAAATATGTAAATTATTTGAATTAAAGAGAATCTTATTCGATTATTCAAGGTCTTGGGAAGCCGATTTATATAAGCCTTTGGCTTGTTTCAGTATCTTGTGAATAAAATATTGTTTTAAAAAAAAGTTATTCAAGGTCCTCTTATTGTTGAAATTAATACACTTTACTTTTTTTTCTGGCACTCATTTGAGACAGGGTTTTTTTGTGGTTTTTTTTATATAGTTAAATTTTATGTATAAAAAAAAGAAAATAATTAAATTATCGATGACCCTTTATTGTTAAAATTAGTATTACATTAAATTCAAACATTAAATTCGACGTCAGATAACCAAATTAAAATATATTCAGAACATTGTTGTTGTTAGTTAGTTGTATTTTACGTCCGCTTCCACCGAGGTGATGTCGCAGACAATTTCAGAACATTATTTTAATGAATGGATTTATATTTTAAGTATGGGGATAGATGTCACACGTGGGATTATAATGTAGGGGGTTAAATGACATTCCATAGTATCCGGTAGTAGGTGTGTGACTTATGGGTGCCACATGTGTATTAAGCAGGATGTGGTCATATACCTGTGTTTTACTGTATTCCACTAATTACCTGTCATTAAATATTGTTAATTGGAGGTGATAATTAAGGACCCCTTATTCTGGTAGTACCGTCATGCATGTTTATTGCCATTGTCTTTATGGATTTCGTATATAAGGAATGAAAATGAGAATTCAGGTATCATTTCAATCGTAGACGTTCTCGAGTTCACTTTATACCTGTGCCTGTCAGTAATGTTTAGTTGTGGATAATACTATTTGGATTAATTGTGTGTAGAATATTATCTGTTATACCTTAGTGCTATTAGACAATCGCCATCATGAGATGCCCAGCTTCTTCAGGTAGGAATTTCAAAATTTGTTTTGATAAACTATAAAAATCATATCCACGGAACCATGCATACGTAAATTCAGATTTTAAGTTCAGTATGTTTATTAAATCTAATAGCTTGGTTTAGTAAGGAAGTCTCCGTGGGTTTAACGTTTCGATAGGTACAAATATAACGTGACCAAAATGTTCAGCAAATTGTTTTCACAGTAACTTAATTTCTCGTCGGTTAGTCTCCCTGGACGTGTAATTGGTCTGACTTTGAACTATGTTTAAATAGCAAATAGACTTTGTTATTCCACGTGGTATTGAGGGAATCCTACAGGGTTCTACACTTTAGCCGTAGTCATCTTTTATTCAAGACAGATTTACACAGGAAAATTAGCTATATTTAATTTCTATTCAAAATTAAAAGACAGGACAAGACAAATACAAGCAATCATGAATTGGGGAAATTCAATTTACTGATATTCTAAAATTGACATCCGAAAACCTGGTTAGGTCTCACTGTCCGTGAGAAAAATTTGATCCAATATGAAAATATGTAATCTAGTTGCACCGACCATATGTTAGGGTGTTGAGAGTCCATATTTGTAATGTCTTTCTGATACGAATGCAAGATCAAAGAGCAAGAAATAATGTTTATCTTATTAAATTTAGAAAGTTTGTCACCATATTGGAAAACGAAAATATCAAAGCTGCGCAGAGTTCTCGTATCCCTAAACTTGTTGATAGACAAACTGGTTAATCGCCAAACAATTATAATTTTCTCTACGGTTTCTATATCATTTTGATTGCCTTCTGGAAAGACGATAAGATGGGGTAGATGAAAGGACTGGACAATATTGGCTTAGAGATATAGTGTTGAAATAAACATCTTGTAACGCGCCGTGGGAGATTTCTATATAGCGTACCCCTGCTTAGATTATGGATAGATAAATCTGTAGGGTTTAGCTAATGTAGTAGTCAGGAGTATGGATGCAATACCCCCTATGGGCCACTTCTAAAATACCCCCCTAGTTGCATATCACATTCTCGAGTTCTGTGCTAATTAATGACCCTTTCTCTTTGAAATTAAATCTGTCCATCTCAATTAAACAAATGTATTTAACAATTCTGTTTGGACTTTTGGGGGTTAGATGAATTTTTTTGGATACGGGATAACATCGAGGTTAGTTTTTCTCTCCCACTAAACATTAGTGATGGTGAATAATTTTTATGTCAATTCCTCGTTTATCATTTGAGTTTCTTTTAGGATAACGTCACCGTTTAATCCCTAAGATTAAAACCAATTGTGTACAATGACCATTATAGTTATGTATTGGATAGCAATTTCTATTATTGTTACAAAGTTCTGAGAAATGACATCTGAATTTTTTTATAGTATTCACCGTGGATAGTACAAACAGGTGTTAGACCTAGATGGTGAACAATAACATGACATGACTTAACGATTTGACAGTCCGTTTCCTTATTCACGTTAATATTCACTTTTGTTGAAATCTAGAATGAAGACATAATAAGCGGTATAGTTTGTTACCGTAGCCTTTGTGTCATCGCCAACAAAGTGGTATGTTTATGAAAATTCTTGTCGAAATTTGAAATGCTTTAAGTTTTCGTCAACTGAACTGATGTGAGTCCCTAATGGGGAAATTTAGTAACCTTAAGGGAACTGGTACCTCACAGAAAGGAATTCCCGCAAGTCTATTAGTTAAATGAATGTTGTATAATGTTAGTTAATGAATAAATTAACTTACCACTTGTGAAAATAACTGGACGTGATTTTTCAAGTCGCCGAAATTTCATCAATGCAAACGGTGTTTTAGTACGGAATATGGTCATTTTTAATTATTTTAATAGTGAGAAATACTTTAACACATGATATAAAATATAGTGCTAGTTAATTTAGTAAATACTTTAACACTATATAATTAGAGAGAAGCACCGGTATAGCTGTGACATTGGTAACAGATTAATCAGGGATTAAGAGAGGATTAAGATAGGATTAATCTACGTTTGATTAATAGAGCATTAATCTTGTCGCGTGTCTCGCGTCGAGAGAAACTTTCCAAAACGGACAGAATATATTTTTATTCTTTCACAAATAAAATTAAACTGCATATTTCAAAATATAATTTATAAAACATTATTTTTAACCTACACACATGTAGTTGAAATTTTGTACACAGTTGTTTATTTAATTTAATGTTATTTGAACATTATTTTATAAATCACAAATCAGTTAAATTTAACATTATTTAGGATATAACATTATTTAAATTTCAACATTATTTAAATATCAACATTATTTAAATTTCAACATTATTTAATTTCAACATTATTTAATTTCAACATTATTTAAATTTCAACATTATTTATATTCAACATTATTTGGGAAATTACATTATTTGAATTTGCGTAAAATAAAGAGTACTCAGGTACTTAATCAGATACAGTTAGTGATGAATCAATCAAAATGTCAATCAATTAAAACAACAAACCATCACTGCATCTTCTGTTATTTGATTATTAATATGCCAAACATGTAAAACAAACACACACTGACATCATCTTGATTAAAACATCTTCTACCCCAAGCTACTCAACTATTTGATATATAAAACACATTTTTTTGTACTAAGACCAGTATCATTCTACCTCTTCAACTGTTCATATCGTAAATAGTATACATTCAAAATGGTTCTAGATGCTTTAGGAGAAACTAAACGGAAGAAATTCGTAATGAAAGGTAGATTTTAAAACTTGATACTAGTCGAATGTGTTATTCTGTTAAAAATCATATCTTTATTTCCTTCCAATGTGTACTTAATGTTTAATTGTATATTTTTTTATGCTTACAGGTCAGTTGAAGGTATCAGCCTATATGAACTTCGGACTTTTAACCGTTCATGGTAAGTTATTTTCTCGCATTGAGAAATTGGCTAAAACGTATAATTTGATTCCACTCACCGTCGTTTAAAATGATTTATCTTTTTAAGCAACTTTATAAACACTGGCCAAGTATATTCGTATTTACCTGTTAAATAATTTTATTTTTGTATTTTACAGTGGTACAAGGAAGAAATTTTGCCTCCAGTTGGAAACCGTTGTGCGATTCGTATATTAAGATGTCATTGGTACCAGATGAGTCTAAGAGAACCCGATGTAAAACTGCTTCTATCACAAACACCAACAACCCTTTATTTGATGACAAATTCTCTTTGTAAGTCAACTCATAGTCAATATTCATCTATTACATTTATTGTTTACTACCCATTAAATAAATCAAAACAAATTTAGGTAGCAATAAATGAGATTTGAACTGAAATTGATCCATCACTTAACTAATACAAGTGTCAATCTACATGTTTAGCTAGCTGTTTAGACATATTTGTGTCACTTAACCAGATTCAATATTATCCAAATTATTGACATAAGATCAAGAAGGGATTTACGGGATCAAGCACACCTGGCACAGGCTACATTAATTTTAGTAAATTTTGATTTTGCTTTAAATTTCATATTTTTGATGTTTTTCAGTGAAATTTTGGAAGAAGATCACAACAAAAGATTGCTTATATCAGTGTGGCATAAAGATCAAAAGAGTGGGTAAGTGTTTAGAACATTTCTACAAATTCTTTTCATTTAATTTATCATTAAGATAGGATTTACACCATATAGAAATTCATTTAGTGAGACAGAGTGTAAAATTTGTCGAAATTACCGAGATACTTTCTTGATCAAAGCTTTGAAACCTGTAATTGGATAGAGACATCGAGAAATCCAATAATTCACAAGTAAATTAGAACGAATTTATTAGTAAAGAGTGCAATTGAGAGTTAAATGGTGATAGACCAATGTTATTGTAGTGATTAGTTAAGGTGGTACTAGGTCAAGCAGAACATGGTAGGGGGTACTTGTTAATGAACCCACCTGTATTGACCTATGTGTATAGGTAAGCTGCCACAATCAATTGTCACCTAGTCTATTGTATCGGTATATATAACACTGACCACAGGTCTGGTTAACTCATTACACCATCAGTCTTCTAACAGTCAACATCTTTCTATATACATGATTTTATATAAGACAAAATGCCTAAACAGAAAAATAATGTTCATTGCAGTTTGAGTGAATTTCTCGGATGTATGTCGTTTGGAGTAAAACATTTGATGAATCCCAAGAAAGAAGTGAATGGATGGTATTACCTACTTACAGAAGAAATCGGTCGTAAAAAACATCTTCAGATCACCAAAACACAGAAACCTGCTCTTAAAGATTACAGTAAGTACAATTTAATATTATCTGACAATCACTAGTTTATTATGTACGCACGACGTTTCGTACCCTCATATGGTTATCAAACACAATGACAGAATAAAATAATTGGCTTATTAAATGCCACTTATAAATTAGTGTTTATTAACTTGATTTATTGTGTAAAAATTGTAAATTATATATTTATCAATTTTATTTTTCAGCACAAGCTAATATTCCACAGATAAATAAAGACGTTAAAGGTAGTGAACCAACAACTGTAATGATGTATCGTGGTAAAAATGGATTTGGTTTTTCGGTTATTGAATCTTTTCCAGTTAAAGTTGGTCGAGTTGATGGTGGTAAGTACACTTTATATTTTAGATTCATTTAATGAAAAAAAAACACTACCCTTTTGTATATTGTCTGCGATATTAACCTTGTGGTGACTGGGCGTTAAAACCCTAGAACGAGCTTTCATTTCATTCATCTTTTATAAGTCTATTCTTAATGTAAAATATACCATTATTTAATTAAATATGTTTGTATATTTGTAGCTTCCCCAGCAGAAGAAGCCGGGTTATTACAAGGCGATATTATTGTAAAAGTTAATGGTCAGAATGTTTCACGGTCTACCGCTGTCAGTGTTGCCAAGCTTGTCAAGTAAGTTCTCTAGTCTGATTAATCCTCATTTAATAATTAAACTTTTAATCTAATCTACTACTATTCGAGTGTTGATAATCTACCAAATCCAATCAAGATATCATTCAGGATACGAAAACATGTCTGATCGAATACAACAGATACCAGACAGCTAGATAGAAAGCAAGCAGACGTGTAGGTATTTGGCGTTTATTTAATGTTCATGTTTATTGTGTTTACAGACGCAGTGCCAACAAGCTTGTACTTGATGTTCAAAGACAGAAAGAACCAGTTACTAATACTACATATGATAAACCAATCCGACAGAATGTTACAGAACCTATTTATGAAACAATCAACAGCTACCATGGTACTGATTTAGATTCTACTGATGGTGATGTTTCTAGAGAAATGAGGAATGATTGTGAGATATCTGTGGATACTGATAACGCTTTCCTTGATGATCCTGAAGAATGTTATATAGCTACTACCAGCACACCTTTACCCCTTCTTTGTAATGGACATAAGGTAAAAATTCATTACATTTTATAACACGTACTACCAAATTCGAATTTCATTTATTTAGCTAACATACCCTGTCTAAAATTGAGCAAGAAGATCCGAATTGCCTAAAAAATCTCGGATATTTATCAACCCCAAAATATTATATTGTGTACAATAATGTACAATTGTTGATTTATGATTGTTTATTTATGATTGTTTATTTATGATTGTTTGTTTGTCGTTTCAGACTTATTACTCTAGTGCTAACGAACAACGTAAACAAGAGGCCGTCCACAGACTTCTCTCCCTTGAATTAGACTTTATCGACTTTATGCATGCTGGTATTCAAAGATATTCTCGCCCTCTCCGTCATTGTATCCTGGCTGCCCAGCAACACTCTGCCCTCTTCCAGAACGTTGAGAAATTGGTTACCATCTCTGAGTACCACGTCAAACAGATGCAAGATAATTCCCCATCTTTGTACACCGATACCGACGATACACAATCCAGCGAAGGCAGTCATTTTTACCAAGTCATGGGTCTCATCTACCAATCCAAACTTCATATGCTGTGCCAAGCCTACGAAATCTACGCCCAGGGTCTTAGTAATGCCAATGGGGTTTTGTCCGGCCTGAAGAGAAACCCAGACTTTATGAGATTTGTGAAAGAACCAGCCCTCACACCTGGAGAACCTAGTATCAGTGCCTTCATCTACCGTCCAATCCACCATCTTAAAGAGCTCCACCAATGTCTACGAGATATCTTCACCAACACCAGCACAGCCAGTGATGATTACCCATCCTTGAAAAACGTCGTTGAAGGTTTACAAGAAAGCGTCAACAATATTACAAACTGCAGCAGCCGAGCCCAGAGTCTGAATTCACTATCATCAAAGAGAAGTAAAGGTAGCGCCGGCAGTCTGGGTTCCAGTGGTAGCAGTACAGGATCTGGCAGCATGAAGTATGGTTCTTCTTCCAGTAGTTCAAGCACCTCTAGTAAGATACCAACCTCCTGTTCCATGCAAACCAATCGATCTGTTGATTCTGAAGTCATGAAGATTCAAGATCGCCTAGTTTTCTCCGCTAACATCCCAGTTTTCCAGTTATGCCAAGAAGAGCGTCATTTGATCTACCGTGGCGACATCTTTAAATGGGAAGGAAAACAGTGGGTCAAGGTAATTATCTTTTAATCATATTGTCAACTCTACAAATTAGTACACGATTGTTGATAGCTCTATTCTATTCACGAATAAGATTTAAATTAGATAATTTAAAGATATTCTTATATGATCTCATTTGAATAAATATTTATGATGTTCCTCTTTGTCCTTTTCAGATTCATATGCTGTTATTTTCGGATGTTATTCTTCAAGTAGAAAGAGAGCGATCTGGTTATATGAAAGTTATTGAAGAACCTATATTTTTACGTGAATTATGTGGTGTTGAAGCTAACTGCAAACATGGTAAGCATATTTTGAAATTTTTGACAACCTAAGCTTTATAATACCAATATTCTCTCTACGGCATTTAGACAGTTAAATAACACCATATATTTAAATTTTTATGAATATAAATATTTATTATTTCATTCGTTCTATTTTTAGCTACTGAATTTTTGCTTCATACCTGTCCTAGAAGTCCGTGTACTGGTCTACCAGCTCCTAAACGATTACTATTTTGTTCATCAACAACAGAAGAGAAATACGTGTGGAAGAATTTATTAGAACAGAGAGTGTACAGTATTCGAGGAACCGTTACCCAGTATAGCAGCAGTACTAGTAGTGACAACTCCATCTATAGTGTTATTGTGTGAAAAGTGAATCATTAACTTTTGTAAAAGAAAGTATGAAAAAGTGCTAATTTAACTTTCAGGCTATGACAAATTTGTGAATTCAAATATTTTTTTTAAAGACTTAGTGCTGTATAATGTTGTTGTTTTGTATGGAGTTCTTAGTGCTGATTGGATGCTGAAATCCTCAATTTGAAACACGGACAATGTGGCAAAGTGCAATTGACATTATTATAAAACTGTATATAGGAAGGAATATTTATGAATATGTATTATAGTATTTAATAATTGACAAGAAACTGGACTATCTTCTTTCCTTTTGTATATACATAACCATTTCTTAAACCTTGTCTTAATCTATTGTACATAAATTCCCTATTTGTAATATACTATTATATATATTATGAGAATGAGGCTGTAGCTCAATATGTATGTAGTTATTTATATTTCATTGTACAGAAATATATAAGATACACTCAAAATAAAATTTCAAATTAATTAAAATACTGTTAATCGTCTTCATTATCCCGGTTTGGGGCAGAAAAGTAAGGCGTTAAACCCCATAGAGATGAAATTAACTGCCACAGTCCTAGAGATTTAATTAAGGTCCACAGGTACTGTCTGGCCCGAATTACCAACTCCGCTGCAACCTAAAATATGTGGGGTAAAAGTTTAGGGGTTTTGTCTACTAGCCTCGTGGGCACATTCATTGTACAGAAATATATAAGATACACTCAAAATAAAATTTCAAATTAATTAAAATACTGTTAATCGTCTTCATTATCCCGGTTTGGGGCAGAAAAGTAAGGCGTTAAACCCCATAGAGATGAAATTAACTGCCACAGTCCTAGAGATTTAATTAAGGTCCACAGGTACTGTCTGGCCCGAATTACCAACTCCGCTGCAACCTAAAATATGTGGGGTAAAAGTTTAGGGGTTTTGTCTACTAGCCTCGTGGGCACATTCCTGCTTTAACTGTTTCCTGTAGTGTTTTATCCCTGGCGTCAACGAACTGGGTCCATAGCGCTATGCATCTAGTCGCTTGAAGAGCCCAATCATGCTTCACAATTCCAAGATGGTGACGATGACGTCATGCCTGGTACCAGGGCAAGGCCGTAACTAGCTCAGAGGAACGAGGGAGGCGGGAAGTGTTCTCGGGGGGTGCTGTAAAATTGACGGACAATGTATATCTATTGTTACGGGTCTGTTCCAGGGCCATAGTACGATCGTACTTGTTTCTCTATATATTAGTATTTGATATGTATATTCCAACTATAGACTAAGTAGGCAAGGTCCCTTCTCCTTTTCATTTTCTTTTGACCGATAGAAACATACGCCCATAAATCGTCGGAAATTCTGCAAGGAAATCTCAATCAACAATTTGAAAATGGAGGAAAGAACTTGTTTGATCGATAGTCCCCTATAGGCCTATCCTTAGATAATTCTAAACTAAGCAACAGTTAGATTTCTATAGCGATCGAGATTGATTATGTAAGATTTAGATAGATAGCGGATAGTTCTTGCTATAATACTTTTTTAAAAAGATAATGAAAAGGGAATATGTTGAACATTTCAGTAAAATTACTTCATTCTGAGCCGAGTTATCACCGGAATAAGAACATTGTAATCTCGATTGTCATTGCTACCATATCCATTTTTAAATTCAATCATACTGTCAGTCGTGTATAAATCTGTTGAAAATCTCGAGGACCCGATGGCACTGAGAGTTGATTATGGTTTTGGCAAGTTAATAAATGTTTAATTTTAATAATATAACATTTAGGGCCAAAATAAAGACCTGCAATAATTCCTCAACCAGACTTAAAGTTTTTCAACGTCTATGAATGATAGGGTTGAGGGTGGTTGGCGCGTGCGCTTTGTATCATAAGGTTTGTCATTGAGTCAAATGGTGTGGTGTCGATTCTCCGGTTTTACGTGACAAAGAGTGGGGTCGCCCGTCCAACCTCGTGGGGTTTCTCTGGGTCATCCGGTTTGCTCCCACGCGCAAGCGAATTATTGAAATAAAATTTAACCATATGTTAGTTCTGAAATGACCTAGTTTGTGTCGAGGACGTTAAACCAAATTCTCCTGTCATGTCAAAATTACACAGGCAGATCTATCCACTTGATTTGATATATTTGTTGTTAATTGCTAGTCATCTCTACATAGTTTGCGTCTTGCCACAGATTTGTCATCAGTATCTCCAGTTAATTGTGCTAATAATAACGTAAAATATAAAACTATAATTTGTGGACCATTTTGTTTGTAAATCGGGCCAGGGCAACTTGAAATATTTTCAGGGCAATGAGAGTAGGCTGTAGCACCGCTGTCCGTGCAAGATTTCACTACCACACTGCATGGTGTATGACCGACTTATTTTTGTAAAAGTGTTATCAATTGCTTTAACATCGATTTTCAAAGGGACTTGGTAAAGCAACAGGTCGTATACAATGCAGTAGGCTATGATGGACAGATATCAATTGAATTCCATCTGTCGGGTTTTTTTCGTCTTGCCAGTCTTGCACCACTGCTTTAGTGAGCCAGTGCGGCTCTCCACTTTCTCCCCTAATTTGCATGTTCATTGTCTTTTATATTTGGTTTGAATGAACATTTTCTAATAGGTTTTGGTAAATATTCATAATTACAAGGTTGGTTACGGTGATAGGTACGGGGGTTATTTCCAATATTATGGTATGCTTTGTAGTGCAAGTAAAATTCGGTAAAGAGTTGAAGCCGGGCAAGGAGACCAGATTTAACATCACAGTCAATGGGGAAATCAATAGTGGTCTGCATCCCATTGACAATTCCAAGGGTTATACCCCTTTATGAAAACGTTTCCCGAACTAGTTATTCTTTCTTAAAAAAAAAAATATTTTTTTTTTAAAAAATCTGTTTTCGCGGCACAGAGATTTTGTGTACTCTTCAACAAAAGTAGGGGATATTGAAATGCAAATACCTATGCAGGTTGTGATATGATAAATAGCCATGGATACTCGACATGCTTTGAGAGTATGTAAACAGATGAAGAAATTATCGCCCCAACAGTTTTGTATTGTTTCTGAATATCCCCTACTTTTTTTGATGGGTATATTTACGATGTTTTAAGGTCAATTCCTTCACTTTCAGTATAGGGGCGTCCCTCAATTGACCGGACACCACAAGATTCCATAATATTATTGTCAAATACGGTAATCGTTGAAAGTATAATTCTATCAGATAGGCCCTACTATAGATTTGTCCGTTTTTTATTCGTTCAAATTTTTCTGTGGACGACGTATGTATTTTCCCCTGTCCGCCCGATCACTTTTGTTTGTCCACACTTGAGGTGTCATAATTTTTATCCGTTTTTGATGAAATTTAAATTACAAAGATTTGGCACTTATCGGAACGTAACTTCATGGACTACTGCTCCCGACTGTACGAAAAATCGAGTCTTTAGCTGGTAGGCTCTCTAGTTTTATGAATGTAAGTTTATACCCCAAAGATTTCGGATGAGTTCGATTTTGACACGTATCGGACAGTAACTTGCTGGATTATTAGAGACATTTGGCAAGCGCAAATTCATGGTCCGTATCACGTATCCGTGTCGGTTTTGCGTGTGACGTCATCAATGTGTGTGTATTTCTCATACGTGTCACGGCACACGGATACGGCGTACCGTCTTTTTTGCTTTTTTTAGACGTGAAATGTTGTGCCATAGCGTTTTTATGAATCTATATGTATCCTAAACCATGAAGGTGTATATTTGATGTGATTTTAACGATAAAGAACGGAATTTAATCATTATTTTTGACGAGTGTTTCTCGGAATTTTCATACTTTTCCTGTCTGTCTGTTTGAATGCCCGTTGATCTACGCACTGAATTTAGGGAGGTGGCACCTTGCAAAACTGTAAATGATGTAATTCTATGGTAAAGGGGTATAAACTTTCTGAAATGATACATTAATTTGTAGGCTAGGCACTTGACTGGTACTGATGGTGATCATGCTGTAATAGAACTAAGCTCAACTCAGCTACTCATACGTTATACGCAGCGCGATAATTTGCCAAAACTCTAAAACTACTTTGACGCAACGTATCACGTGACGATACGGATACGGATGAGAAAAATTCTGCTTGCCAAAAGTCTCTATTGTCCCCGATTGTACGAAAAATTGTGTTTTTATTTTGTGGACCCTCAAGTGGCGGTAAACACGAATGAGTTAAAATTTCGTGAAAATCAGACCCAACATCCCGTCAAAATGGCCCTTCCCCTTTACGCAAATAGTTCTGTTCTGGAGTTATGTGACATGTTTTACGCAAAATGTGAAATATGTACAAAGTTGGGAAAACATATACTGAGCGCCATGGAAAACGCATCACTTTTTTCCCAAATATTTTATTACTAGGTGGTTTTGTATGTATAATATTATGCAATACTATGAACTATTGTTTCACACAATGCTCCCAAACGCAAAAAATATCGGCCCGTGTGCACAAAAAAAAAATTGCACGAGATGCACATGAAAAATCCAATATTCACGTGCAGCATTGTGTGCGAGCCCTTTAAAAGCATGTTTTCAACTTAATGTGCAGTACATGAACTGTGAAACGTCAATCTGTCGTAATTTGTTGTTGGACGTGTGAAGAATCGAGCTAGAGATGCCGCGACTTACTGAAAATCAACGGAATGAAGCCATTGGAATGTCCAGGGCTGGCATGTCTACACGTGCTATTGCCAGACACTTCAATTGTCATCAGTCCACTATTGTAAGATTGGTGGAAAGTGTTCGAGTTACTGGATCAACACGTGACCGTCAACGGCCTGGTCCACAACGCGTTACAACCCAGGCTCAACACCGCTACATCCGGGTCACTCATCTGCGTGACAGATTCCGCCCAGTAACTCGAACAAGTGCACCAGTCGTCGGAAGACAAGGACCAGTAAGTGCCAACACCGTAAGACGTCTAAGAGAAGCAGGACTCGGTGCACGACGACCTTATGTTGGAGCTATCCTCAGGGATCATCACCGTCAGCGGCGTTTGATATGGGCTCAAGGACACCAGACATGGAGAAGAGTAGTGTGCTCTTCAGTGAAGAGAGTCGCTTTCATCTTTATCCGGACATGGCACCGATAGAACATGTCTGGGATGAGATTGGACGCCGTCTGTATCGGAGACTACAGATGCACACCATTGCTGCTTTCGAAGCTGCTCTTGTCCAAGAATGGAACAATTTGCCCCAGGCCTTCTTTCAAACATTGGTTAATTCCATGCGACGTCGCTGCACAGCGTGCGTAAGAGCCCGTGGAGGACACACGCGCTACTCACATCTGCATCGTACTTTTGGTTTTGACCCCTCTGATTAAACATCCATAAGTGTACAAATCTGTTGTTATTGATGTGTTCCCATTTGAATATTGTTCACAATAAGAAGCAAAATAAATAAGATATGTTTTCCATGGCGCTCA